CCTCTCTGTTGCAGCCCCATTGATGGAGAAACCCACTGCACCACTCAGGCTGGGGGAGCTGACAGCCAATAATGCCAAGCCGAATTCCCTCGATCTTTCCTGGACCGTTGAGGCTGGGAACTTTGACTCCTTTATCATCCAGTACCGAGATGCTCAGGGCAAAGCCCAGGCCCTCCCTGTCAACGGGGACCTGCGTTCTCTCCACCTGCATGACCTGGCTCCCTCTCACAGATACCAGATCAACCTCTATGGCGTCTCAGGCAGGAAGCGCCTGGGCCCCATCTCCACCGAAGCCGAGACAGGTCAGCAACCATCCTTCCAGGCCAGGGGAAGGGAACCAGCCCACAGGCCAGATCCGACTGCAGGGGCTACAGCGGCACCCTTTTCCCTGGACCTACACTTTTGTCTCTTTTGTCACTTTGAAAAGGGTGAAATGTTTCTCTTAAGGTTAGTGGTGGGAAACAAATTACACTGATCAATGCTGGTATATTGTTCCCACCTTTTGGGCATTGGCCTTACCTTCCACTGGAAAGTGGCCCGCAAGAACTTACCTGAAATGAAATTCTGCTGTCAGAATACAAGAGGTTCAACACTCCTGTGACAGGGGAAGGCTGTTCTTGTCAGCCTTGCTTGTGAGCTTCTGAGTGGCATCAGATTGGCTGCTGTTATAAACACTATATACAGCTAATTTAGCTGTGTTGGGTTTTTTGTGCCCCACTTTATCCAAATCAAAATCAAAAACAGAAGAGAACAAGATTTTAAAAAAGGTTTCCTTTAAGTTTGACTAGGTCAGCTGTTCATTTAAGAACTTGTTGACTTACAACAATCCCTGGCAGAAAGTAAGGTCCTTTCTTCCCCAGACCAGTTGGAAGAAAACACATTTTTTACTAATCTACTGCTAGTAACCTCTGTTTTCACACTGGATTCCTAACAAACTAGTATTTTGAGAGAGGGAGGCAAGGAGGTAACTTCTGCAGACTTAATTACAAGATTGGATCTTATCAGGAGTGGCTTTTTTCACGTTTTCATCAGTCAAGCTGCTTACAAACCAGTATAATGAGGTCTTCCTCAATGTCTTCTACCACTCCTAGCAGCTTTACCAAGGAGAGTGTGATCCCCCACCCCTGTGTAAGCTTGAAAAACTGAGTGATCAGTTGCCATCCAGTTGTCAGGTGACTCTCCCATTTGGAAATGGGCATTGCATCCACCTTTTCTGCTATGAGGGGCCCTTGTTGCCAGGTGAGAAGCTGGCTTTCTGAATCATGGGGAATGAAGGCAACTCTGATGGAACCAGATGCAGGCCATGGGTGATTTATTGGCCTTCTCTGCTGGTCTGATCCAGCAAGGAAATGGTGCATGGGTCGAGATAGGTCATGTAATCTATTTGAAGTTGGCATCCTTTATAACTACATTTAGATCATGCTTTTTTCCCTCTCCAAGGCCCCAAGGCAGCTTACAAGGTACACTTCCTTACCAAAGTTACCCTCACAGCAACCCTTTATTTATGGCTTATCTTAAAATAGGTGTTAAGATGTTTGCTGTTGGCATTTTTATTTACTCTCCTTTTTTGATCTTACAGCTATTGGCTTAAAATTATTACTGAGTTTTAAAAATCATTTTATTGTATTTTACTATAATTGTTTTTAGCTGCCTTGGAGATTGCTAGATAATGAACAGGAGTAATATTCTCAAAGGATAGTAATGATTTTACTGAAATGCCATTAACTGAACTCAGTAATGATGCTGTAATTTTATTACCAATGCAGATGTTCTGTCAACCAGTTTTTCCAACTCAGCCTTGTTAATCTTTATTAGAGAGTTCTAATCCACAAATTTCTTACCACTTTCTTAGCTTTCAGGTTCTCTGAGACTCTCTTCTTCTTTTCCATCCTACTAGGGGGAAAAAAAGGAACTCAGGAATAAATCTGACATTCCCTCAGCCATTTACATATCTCCTCCTAAGAGTTTAGCAACCATCATCCTTTCCTCTTGTTTATTTTTAGCTCCAGCAGCAGAAATGGAGAAGCCCAGCCTAGGACAGATTTCTGTCTTGGAAGTGACAGATAAGTCTGCCCGCCTTGCCTGGGATGTTGCTACTGGGACCTTTGACTCCTTTTTGATTCAATACAAAGATGCTGAAGGCAAACCAAAGGCACTGCCTATAGATAGGGACTCTCGGGAAGCTACTGTGTCTAACCTGGTACCTTCTCGAAAATACAAGTTCAATCTGTATGGACTTGTAGGCCGCAAGCGTCTTGGTCCTGTTTCCACAGAGACTGTAACAGGTGAGCAGTGAATCCAGAAATGTTGGCGTACTTTTCACTTTTGGAGTTGAAATGAATTTGAGCCAGGGGGAGTCCCAAGCAAATTTTCCTAACTCAAGCAGATATCCCTCTATTTCCAGTGCTCAGCTATGAGTACTGCTGCGTAGGTAGTCAAAATGACACCACCTGTGCTCAGGGTGGGGTATGCTAGGAGTTGTAAGTCATTCTTTTGTTTAAACGTGCATAGGATTACATCCTGAAAGGCAGAAAAGAACACTCCACACTGCAACATTTGTTCCAGGCCCAGTCTGTCTATCTGTCTGTCTTTGAAATCAAACCCAGCTCTAGGTAACAATTTGGGGCAATGCTCCTGTTGAGCAAAATAAATAAGGTAAATTTACTACTATTACCCTCATTGTTGTTATTGTTAATAATATTCCTTTTGGGAATGATACACGATTCCAATAAAATAAAATTTAAATTATTTTAAAAACTCTCTTCAATCTCAGATAAAAATTGAAAAACAACATTTTCAAAATTGTAGAAGTAAAAGTCAGATTCTGACTCTGCCACCAACTTTCTTAGATGTGGAAAAAATAATTTTAATTCAAGACATCTTATCCTTCTGGAATCTCTGTTGCTGTTGAAAAGTTTGTGCCATTTTCTGCTTACTGGCTATTTTTAACTTTAACTATGGTTTGGCTTCTGCAGAAAAACCCACTCAGAGTTGAACATTTACGGATGGGATCAGGAGGAAGTGTTTCTTGTCCCTGTAGTTGACAATCCTCCCAAACTTTTGCTCCAGTAGAGGGAGGAGTGGGCAAGAAAAAGCTGAGAAATCCAGAAAGGATTGGTGGTTGGCAGAAATGGGGTGGGATCAAAGAAAGGGACATGGCCTTCTAGAAAATCCCTAAGGGCCGGACTGAAGCCACAGGAAGGCTGGACTTGACCCACTGGCCTGAAGCTCAATAGCACTCTGCTAGTCCCAGCACCACAGCCCTTATTCTTTACTATAACTCAGTTCTAGTGCTAATTTCACCTTCGTCTTCTTTGCTATCTGTTGTAGCCTCAGTGATGTCAGAAAAGCCTGACAAGAAACTGACAGCACCACCCAGTTTGGGAGAACTCTTTGCCTCCAATATCACCAGTGACACAGTGCATTTGTCCTGGAGTGTCCCTTCCGGGAGTTTCGATTCCTTCTTGATACAGTACAAGGATGCTGAGGGGAGACCCCAAGTATTGCCCATGGAGGGGGACTCCCGTGAAGTTGTCATCCCTAGCCTGGCTCCGTCTCGCAGATATAAGTTCAATCTCTATGGCATCGCCAATCGCAAACGACTTGGTCCCGCCACTGCTAATGTAACCACAGGTCAGCTGAGTTAATATATTTGTTACAATATAAGCTGCATCCGTGCCAGCTTCACGGATCCTTAATAGGGCAGGTGTCAAGAACGTTGTGCATATGCATGACAGGCATAGTTGGGCACATCTTATAAGGGCCGCACTGACAAGAGTCTTCTAGAGTTCCTCTCCCTCTTCACTCTTGCAGCCTGCCTCTCCCTCTGGGCTGGGCTGCTGCAGTGGTGAGGAGCAGGAGCAGCAGCACATGTGGGGCCCCCAGAGGTGTCCGGCTATGTCGGTTCCTGATGCCAGGACCCTACAGCAGGACCAGAAATCCCAAGTGCCAATGAGGGCTGCTTAGAGCTTTAACATTTGTTTTGCATCCCTGCCACAGCGTCACTAAAGGAAGAAACTTTGCCTGAGCCTGTCCTGGCTGACCTCTCTGTCACAGATGCTACCAGCAGCTCAGCCCATCTCACATGGAATGTCCCCACAGGCAACTTTGACTCCTTCTTGTTCCAGTACCGAGACGCAGAAGGCAATAATCAGGCCCTGCCTGTGAACCAAGATTCCCGTGAGGTCACCATTCCCAATCTGGCTCCCTCCCAAAGTTACAGGTTTGATCTCTATGGAATCTTTGGGACTCAGCGTCTTGGACCCCTCTCTGCTGACGTTGTTACAGGTTAGCAGTTTAATAACCCAGCTTCCTGGTTTGGTAGAGTGCTTGTCCCCTTTCACCTTTGGGAATGCCAAGACTAAAAAAACTAAAAAATTAAGTGTTGCCAGAAAACTAGGTCTGTTTTGTGATTATGTATCAGGAAGAATCTACACACTACAGAGTTAAATGGGCTGCAAGGTAGTTTTAGAGTCGTGAATCCTAACTAAGGAGCCATAAGAATAAGGATGTGCGAGAAATTCTCTTTGGGTAGAAATTCTGCCGGATTCCCTGGTTTCAGCTCCAGCTTTGCAGCAGCCCAGAGTCTGAATTCCTAGCGAGTGCATCCAAGGTTCATGGGATGTTTGCCAGGAATTGAACCCCAAGCACTATGCATTCAGGCCCATTCTTTCTTGCATGCCACTGCTGCCAACAGCAGTGCAGGGGGAAGAAGGTTGGGCACCAGAAACGATGACTGGGGTAGGTTGCCAGTTCTGCAGAACTGAGGGTCTGCAGATGCTCCCAGACTTCTGCTGGGCTCATCCTGCTTCCTTAGACAGGGATGAGCACCGGAAGAAGTCCAAGAGGCAGGCGTGAATTGGTTTCCAGAGAGGCTAGGCACATCCCTACATAAGAATTACGGTTCTACTGAGGAGTTGTAAGAATTCCAGTTCTACTAAGGAGCCATGGGAATTGTAGTTACATGCAGGAGCTGGAAAATTCTAAAGGTGGTACCATAATATTCTAAGAAAGCTGCAAATAGTAAGATTTTTTAAGAGATTGTAGGGATGAAGGTGGCCACAACATTTTTTTTCCCCATTTCATTCTTTGCCTTCCCCTACCCTAGAGTCATTGTTTTGAATATTCCTTCATGGGGTGGTCAATACATTGAGCATTGTAACTTCAGTTGTTCTTTTATGGTCTTTACAGCAGCTTCTCAAGAAACAAAAGAGAGGTCAGGTGAGACCATTCCGACTCAGCCCACACTGGAAGAACTCTTGGTCTCAGATGTCACCAGCAATTCTGTCCGTCTCTCCTGGACTGTCCTCACTGGGAACTTTGACTCTTTCTTGGTCCAGTTCCGGGACTCCGAGGGCAAGCTTAATTCACTGCCTGTGGATGGGGAATCCCGAGAGGTCATTGTTCCCAACCTGACGCCTTCCTACAGATACAAATTCAATCTCTTTGGTGTCTCTGGTCGCAAACGTTCCAGCCCCATCTCCATAGATGCCACCACAGGTTAGCAGTAAAAGTAAACTTGATGTAGGTCTTTGAAACTACCTTCATAACATCTTAGAATAATAGAGTTGTAATGGGACAATAAGATCATATTGCTGTAACTATTGGGATGTTTTTCCTGATGTTCAGTCAAAATATGGCTTCCTGTTACTTGAATTAATTATCCTATGTCCTACATTCTGACATGATCAAGAAATGATCCTGGAACTCTTCCATGTGATGACCTTTCAAGGGTTTGAAAACCGCTGCCAGTTCTCCTCTCAGTCTTCTCTTCTCCAGTTCTTTCAGTCTTTCATTATGGGCCTTTTTCCATCATCCTGCTCATTTGTTGTCTTCCTCTGAACTTTTTCCAGTCTCTTTGCATCTTTCTTAAATGGTGTTGTCCAGAATCAATGCAGTACTCAAAATAAGCCCTTATCAGTGCGAGTGAGAGGGAACTAGTACTTCATGTGTTTGGAAGTGATGCTTCTATTAAAGTGATATTCCTATTCTATCATCATCATTATCATTATATAATGTGTTAATTACTAATATAATAATATATTGCATAGATTAGATAATAATTAATGATGATGATGATAATAGAGCCAGTGTGGTACGGTTAAGAGAGTGGGACTAGCTCAGCCATGGAACCAACTGGGTAACTTTGGGCCAGTCACAGACACTCAGCCTAACCTACCTCATAGGATTGTTGTTGTGGAGATAAAATTGGAAGCAGCAGGACAAGAAAGTTATAAGCCACTCTGAGTTCTTTAAAAAAGAAAAATAAGGTGGGGTATAAAATCTAATACATTAAAAATTCAGTATTTCTATTATAAAAAGTCAGCCCAAAGTGACTTTTTTGCAGCCACATCACATTGTTGACTTATATTGAGCTTGTCATTTACCACAATTCCAAGATCCTCCTTGCTTGCAGTAGTCTTGAGCCAAGTATTCCCCATCTTGGAACTATGTTTTGGTTTCATTTTCCTCAGAGGCATTCGTCCCCGATAAATTTCATTCTGTTCACTTCAGCTCAGTGCTCCAACTTACGAAGATCACTTTGAATTTTGTTTATCTTCCAGAGAATTAGCTATTGCACCCGATTTTGTGTCATCTGCAAATTCATAAGCATTCCC